CCTGCCCCCCAGCCCAGGGAAGAACCAGGGCTCAGAGGGAAGGGACTCGTGCATTGACAGAGTCATGCAACCGCCTGCAGCAAAGGGGCCGTGCAGCGAGGGTCCTGCTTCAGCCAGCTCCTGAGTCTGCACAGCGTGGGCTCCTCTTCTCCCTCACTGGCTCTGGGGAGGAGTCCTGAGGGCAAGGATGAGCCCCATGCCCATCCCCATGACAGCCCCCCTACTGCTGGCCCTGGTGGGCTTCTTCTATCTGACCACCCTGTGGAGACCCCAGCCCAGCTGTGGGAATACATGGGGAAGAGGGAGGCAGAGACACCACCGTGGCTCCACGTTATCCTTTCAGAACATGATGCCCACTGGCTCCCTGGGGCACAGGCTGTGCAGGGCCCCTGGCTGCTGAGCAGTGACAGCCTGAGCTCTGTGGGGAACAGGCCCTGGGGGTCCAGGACGCAGGCTGAAGGCTGCCCGGAGGGAAACCGCATGAGCTGAGCCCCTGCGCCCCTGCTTGGAGTGGAAGGCAGGGGAGACACATCAGGGATGGGAGCTGGGGGAGGAAGACCCAACGGCATTGGGGAAGGTGGGGAGACGCAGAACAAGTGCTCGCAGCACCATGCTACTTCCTGCCCGCCTTGGCTTCGCTGATGGCTGCCCAGACCTCAGCCACGAAGTCGCCAGGGAAGGCAAACTCGCCCAGCACTGAGTCCAAGCCCTTGGCAAATTCCTCAGGGCTCGGTCGCTCCTTCGCCGTCTCCACCATGGTCGAGGCTGCAGAGAGAGGCAGAGAGCTCAGCAGGGGCTGGGGCCAGGGCTGGGGCTCTTGACCTGGGGTGTGGGGGTGCCCCTTGAGCCAAGGAGGGGGCTGGGCTTGGGATTCTTCGCATGCTTCTTTGAGTCTCGCTGTGTGTAGACAAAAGGGAACATGGAGCGGGACTCAGACAGCCTGGAGCCCAGCTCCTGTTCCAGCCCAGCCCCTTGAGACCAAGCTCCAGCACACCCTTTGCAATGAGCTGGTTTCTCCTTCCTGCCACCTGGGCACAGTGCTGCTGACCTCAGGAGGCAGGACTCAGCACCCTTGCAGGGGTCCAGCTCTGAACATCTTCCCATGGGTCTGGGTCCCCGCCACCAACCCAGCACCAGGGACCCAGACCTTCCCACAGACCCAGGGCCGCATCTTCCCAGCAAAGGGCTCAGCCCTGAGGGCAGCTGGAGGGAGAACAAAGGGCAGACCTGTGCTGCTCCCCCTCCCCTTCCCTCCCACCATCCCCCCCAACACCCTGCCACATTCACCCAGATCTGAGTCCCGGATGCCCATGTAGCTCTCCAGCAGGTCGTCCACCTTCTGGGCAGCCTCCTCCTCGAACTCGCTGGGCTGTGGGCATGAGGCTGGGTTAGGAACCACAGAGCTGCTATTTGCACCACAACATTGGCCTCTAAGACTTTTGCCCCCTCCTCTCCATTAGTGATGGGTCCAGGGCTCGCAAGTCATGGGCCGCACAGGGTGTATCCCAGGGAGCTGTGGCTAACAGGCCGTCCAGGATCAGGGCCCCATCCTGCCTCAGGGCACAAGGGAGGAGAGCCAGCAAGGCCTGAGTGATGCTGAGCCTTGGCCAGGTTGATTGATTGCTATACCGCCAGGAGAGATGCCCCTGCTTCCTGCTGGTTTCTGCTTGTCTTCAGGAAGCAAAAGCCCCCCAGGCCCAGAAGACCAATCCCACATTTTGTCCCAGGGGCATCAGGGCCCCTGCAGCTGCTTGTACCTCTGCGGTGCCACAGCCCTAAATTCACTCCCCCACAGACAGAAGGCTGGCCAAGACCTGGGCCCTTGGCACCACAGTGTCTCTATAGGTCACCTTCACCAGGGCTGCCTTAGCTCCACTGCAGCTGATGAGACCTGCTGGCTGGCCAACATGTATGACACGTGCCACACGTGTGTGCATTTGTGTCCATGCAGGACTGGGCACAAGTGCCTGTGTAGCCAAACATGCTTGCACACGACTGGCCATGACCATCCCCAGGAGGTGTGCAGTTGGGTGTGCTTGGAGCACCATGCACATGTGTGGCTGTGAGGGTAGGTGAGTGTGTACTCACACTAGTGTCTTCACGGGCACCTGGGCATGTCTAGAGGTGTGGTGGAGAATGTGGCAGCTTAAACTTACCCAGCAGCAGGGGGTGGGAAGCTCTGTTGAAATGGCTAGAAGGCTGTGACAGCAGCAGCTACGCCTGCAGCTCCAGCTCCAGAAGTAGCAGCTCCAGTGGGACCAGCGACAGTTTATGCAGCATCTTCTGCAACAGAGGTTGGCAAGTCCCTCCACTCCCAGACAGGGAGAGTGGAGCACTCTTGAAGATGGGTTACCAGCAGATGACCCAGAGGCCTTCTTAGAGACTTGGGAGCAGGTGGCAGAGCCTGCTGCTGCCTTGGACCTTCTAGACATTTTAATAGAGCTCCTGAGTCCATGGTGCTGGGTAAGTTTAAACCACTGCATTCTCCACCACACTTCCTGACAGGGTCCTTCTGCTGCCTGCCAGTGCCAGAGCTGCTACCCGGCACCACTCCTGCCCCAGACACCTGGGTCCTGCTCCCTGTGACCTGCTGCTTCACAATTTCCCTTCAGGCAGGCAGCAGCCAGCAGCCAGCAACCTGCCTGTCCAGGCCTGAGCAAGCAGGGGCTCTGATGGGCCCAGGTGGTGACGGCCCCTTTCTTGGCAGAGGGAGGCAGCCCATAGTGGAGACCAGTAGTGCACACTGGGGGTGCACTCATCCTCGCTCCTGGCACGCTTGCCCATCCATCCCGCCGTGCTTGTCCCTGTCCCTGTCCCATGGGCGGCACTTCACTTACCAACTCCTCTAGGGTGGCAGTGCCCTTTGTGCGGAGTCGCAACGTTTCCTTCCCACTGGTCACCCTGCCTTCGCCTGGGCACTTGCTGCTCTTCGTCCTCTGACCAATCATATCTGGCAACACAGATTGGGGGGGTTAGAAAGAGGGGAGGTACGGGGCAGGTTCCTACCATCCCCCACACACCCCCAGGGATCGTAGTGGCAGAGGGAGGTGCAGTCAACCCCCAGGGGCAGCAGAGGCACCTCTGCAGGGGCACTTCGACAGAGGCCAATGCCAGCTCTGGGCAGAGGGACCCTGGGTGAAACTAAGTTTGGGATTTCAGGTGCAGTGACCCTACCCACAAACCTATACACAGAGCCCCAGTCTGTGGGAAGCTGGTGGGGTTTGGGGGTGGATTAGGCCTCTCATGGTCTATTAGGTATGGGTGGGGGATAGAGGAGGCACAGAAATAGGCTGTTAACTGGCAACAGGGGCAGATCTAGGGGTGTGGGGGCGCAGGTGCAGCCCCCTTCCACTGTGTTGCGCCCTGAGCTGTCTGGGCTATGCAAGCGCTGTGGGAGGTGGGGCTGGGGCAGAGTCCAGCACCTGCACAGATGCTCCCCACAGCCCCAGCTGGAGCAAGTCTGGAGCAGCCTTGGGGCCTCCCCATTTCCTCATGCCCTTGCCCAGGTCAGCCAGGAACAACACCAGTGCCAGGCAAGTCCCCCTTCCCATGCCCCCCTGGGCCTGCTGGTATGTGCAGGTGGGTTGTGTGCAGGAGAGGGGCAGGCATGGAGGGGAGCCGTGTGGACACAGAAGGGCTTCCAGGGATGGAGGGGGATGGAGGGAGGTGTGTGTGCAGGATGGACTGGGGGGTGTAGAAAGGAGGCACGGTGGTGGGGCGAAGGTTAGAGGTGCTGTAGGCAGCTGGGAAGTGTTAAGCCCTGATGTGAGGCTTGGGTGGGCATCACAGACGTGGCTGTTCAGGAGGGCTCCCTGCCTGGGGATTCAATCTGGGCCTGGAGGAATGAGCTCCGTGCCCCTTCCCCTAGTGAATGGAGCTAAGGGCCCCTGGGCACCCCACAGCCAGCACCCCAGGGAGGCTAACAGCCAGTTAGGGGCCAGGCCTGGGCCGATCCCTGCTGCATGGACCAGGAGCACCTCCTGGTGGGCACCGTGGGTATCTTGAGCAGACAGACAGGCAGTCCTGCGGTAGGAGCAAGGGGTAGCTGGAGGTCAAGGGGAGAGCCAGGAGCCCCAAGATGATGTGGCCTGTGGTGCTGTGGCCACAAAAGCCACAATCCCAATCATGCATGTGCACGTGTGAGGGCAGTGACCTCTGAATATCCCAAGCAGCACTGCCTGGCCGGGGACCTTGGGGGTGGGTGAGCTGGGGCAGGCTGCTGCCTAGGGCCCCAGGCTGGCAAGGGAGTGCCCTGAAAAAATGCCCCTCTCCTTTCCACACACACCCCAGTGACCTCTATGGCAGACCAGCCTCACCTTTATTCTCGGCGTGCCAGGATCCAGCGGGACAGGACAGGAGGGGGCAGACGAGGTCCATCTGCCACTGCTGGCTCTGCAGGCCACGGGGAGGGAGCGAGGGGGTTGCAGGGGCTGAAGCAGGACTGGCATGACCCCAGTCCCTTGGCTAACTCTGTGTGACCCCTGCTATCTCCATGGAGCAGCTGCATCCTCCCACCCTGCAGACGTGGTTTCCACCAGCTACATCAGCAACCCCAGACAGGGCTCCTGGGAGGTGTAACATGCCCTTGGGCTCCCAGGCTCCCTCGCGGATTCAGCTTCCAGAAGCAGGACAGCCCCTCGCTGGCCAGCTGACTACAGCGTTCCTGCCCTGTGAACCCAGCTGCACCATGGGCTGTCACACGTGCTACACACGAGGGCCCTGGCACCAAAGAGCTGCTGCAGAGAGCTCGGCTGAAAGGAACAGGGAGAGACACAGCCAAGCTCATGCTGCCTCTGTCCCGCTGCCCAGCAGAGCTCTGCTCTGGAGGGGCTGGGCTGGGCAAGCAAGGGAGCTTGCAGGGCAGGAGCAAGGACCAGTGACCAAGCTGTACAGGATGTGTGCACAGGACTGGGACCAGCAATTTGGGGTCAGGTCTCATCTCGGTCATAGCTCCACGATGCAGGGGCAGCCACACCCTCCCTGTTGGTCCTCCTGACAACAAGGGATCCCCATTCCTCTGCTTCTCGGGTGATTGAGGCACTGCAGGAGTGCTAGCTGGACATGTAGACAGTGTTACAGCACCGCACGATAGTGCCATCACTCCCAACCTGCATCCCCATGCTGTCCCACCCTGGGTCTCCCCTTAACTGAGACTTCCAGCAGCTCCAAAAGCAGGTTCTGTGTTCAGGGCAAACACGACACACACTCAGATGTTTTGATCCCATTGTCTGAGGTTCAAGGCTGGCACATCAGCCCTCTGCTCACCCTGCTTGGCTTAATGCTAGAGGCAGTGTGCACCAGCGCATTGCTTTCCTATCTAGGATGCTGGGCCCTGCCTCTGGGGGATCTCTCCAGCAGGTGCAGGGGCAGGGGAAACACCATGCATCTGGGTCCATGAAGACAGTTTTCCTTAAGTGCCTGGGGGATAACTGCTCTTCTGGTGTGGTTTAGTACCCGCTGAGGTATTGGGGCTTTAAGCCCACTTTATGGAAATGGGAGGCTCCTCCCTAGCTTGCTCCTGTGGCCATATGGCTGAGGGCAAGCAATACTTGGGGGCATCTGAACCCAAGCTTGACCCTGCACATAGGGTGCCTGCCAAAAAACATTGGAAACATGTGAAGCCCCTGGTGGGGGTGGAGGATGTTTGCCAGTTGTAGGGCCACTTATGGTTCTGGACTGACTCATGGATTTTGACTCGATTTGGCTAATTTGCCTTGGAACACAAAAAAGTTCTTTAAAAAAAAAGCTGCAGGGGAGGGAACTCACCAAATGCCTTTTTGGGCTGCACCAGCCTGAGGGTGAAGGTCTGGGACCTGGGCAGCTCCCTCAGCATCTTGGCAACTTCGTAATGGCGGCAGCCCACAATGGTCTGGTCATTGATGGCCTCGATGCTGTCGCCCACACACACGGTCTTGATGCGGTTGATGATGCTCCCTTCTTTTATCCTCTAGAGGGAAGCAGAGACTCAGCAGATCAGTGATACCAAGGCCCAGAGCTGGGCAGAGGAGGCTGGGCGCAAGCAGGCAAGCAGAGGATGCGGGGACTGCTCCTGCACTCTCCCATAGGCAGCCACTTCTGGGGTGGGACACGGCAGCACACAGCAACGCTGCACAAACCAGAGCAAAAACTCAGAACTGACTGGGAATTTGGGGGAGAAGGAGCGTGATTCTATCAGTCGGCCTGCGGCCAGGATGCAGAGCCCTGGGGCAGTGCCGGGGTACCTGCTGTCTGGACCCCTCACAAAGGGAGCTGCTCCAGCAGCACTGCCCCCCCCCACCTGCCAGTGTAGGGGCCGTGCAGACAAGAAGTGCGAGCCTCTGAAACCCAACAACTTGCTCCCAGTATCCTTGGGGGACTCTCCCATCCCAGTTTGAGGTGGTTGGACTCAGCTTGAGATACCCGCCCAAATCCAGACTCGGGCTTTGCAGGCATGCTGAGGGCTGACCCCTTTGTGGGACACGACAGCCTGGGGTGGGGGCGGGGGTTCTGCCATGCTCCTAGCTCTGGTCCCAGCACTCCAGGTTCCTTCTGCTGGACCCTCCTCAGCCCGCTTGCAGCAGGGCTGAACACAGGCATGGGCAAACCGGGTGGCCGCCCAGGGCCCAGACAGAAAGGGGACCCAAAATGGTAATTTTTTTTATTATTATTGTTATTATCTCTGGCGAAGGGGCGCCTGATACTGAAAGTTTGCTCGGGGCTGTGGCAGAAAGCCAACTGGGGCTGACCTCCGCTGGCCCAGGTGAA